GGTTATCAACATTCCAGTTCAGCGAACTATGCAGAGTTTCAGCACTCCGCCGGCAAGAACATTTGCACGTAGATCCAGCAGTGAGACTACTCGAGCCATCCATGAGTAGTATATACTTCGAATCGAAAGATACGCTCTACAAACGCGGACCAGAACTGGCAATTGAATCTTGCTTTGCACTCATCGTATGCCGAAAATGTAGACACCATTCGTGCAAAAGGTACGACTGACTGCAAAACTGATAACTGGCTATATAGACGTGTATTTTGCCATTTCGCGGCATGAGAAGGGTAGGGCAACTGATGCATCCTTCTCACTTGAACCAAGCAATAGTGAAATTGAGTTAGTAGCGGACATAGAAAATGGTATCTGGTTTGGCAATTTTTGATCTTCTGGCTATCCTGTCAGGCAGTTATGTAATAATTCAGCATAGGCCGATTTGTTCCAGTTAACAATTCAAAGTATCCGATTAGCCAACAGAGACAATTGAGCTGATGAGATAGACAGATTTAAGCAAATCTACTTGAGAATAATTATGCCCCAGTAAGAGCAGGTTAAAAGTCGTCTTCAAGGGTGCTGTAGTCAACCCGTACAACTCGATTAAATGGCTCAACACACTTGTATGAACATTTTCAAGTGTTACTTGCATTTGAGTAGTATCGCCAAGTAGTAAAGAAGCTTATGTGCCAATTTCGCACAATCTCCTGCAAACGCCGACTTAATTTACGCATAAAATGGGCAATTAATAGTTGACATGCATGCAAGCGGTTGAATGAACCGCACGTCCGAATGGATTGGCAAGCGCCAGGCTAGTTTGAGTATCGGAGACAGAAAAAAGCATAAATGGGACAAAGCTAACAAATTGGCCCAGCAGTGCAACTGTACAGCATCGGCCACCGGCACAGAGCCGCAAAGTGAGTACGTGAATGTAACTTCAGCTCTTGCAAGATTGACGCACAAGTTGGATACTGTGCGGATAGCCAGCTTGTGTCTGTTCTGACACACACAGGCCTACAGACGGGTCAAGCTGATGTTGCATAATATAGTTTGTTTTTTTAAGTAAACCTAGTCGAGTCCCTTAGGCTTCCAGCTCCCGTCAAGGTTCCGCTTCCTACAACAACTGGCCTTCTTGAATACTCCATTTGGTGTCCTCTACCGACACTATCTTCAGCCAACTCAGAGTTGCGAACCATACACTTTTTCAGGCAGATTCAATTTCTGTTTGAGTTGACATGCGCATAAGACCTCGTCACGACCTGATCGAAGAGATGGTCTAAAAGAAAAGTGATTGCTTTTCTTTATAGACACTCTTGCAAAGCTTAATTTCTTCAATAAATTACTTTTTTTTAATCAAATACGACAGGACTGTGGCCGCAAGAATCTGATGGAATAGTTCTTCAATTATCTGTTCTGCCATAAATGGTCGTTTTCTATGAATGCGCTTCTTTTCATTGTGAAATTATTGGGAATTATTGTTAGGGTGACCTTCATTTCGAATGTCAGTGCATGAAAAAGAGATTTGTTGCTCGATCTCACCAGAAGAGGACGAATGAATCTCGTCGTGCTACAGCCGTTTGGCTTTTAGACGATGTTCATGTTGACGCAGTCCACGAGTATTCCTCCCTCGTTTCTGGTCAAAACGTGCTCAGCTTTCGTCCATTATATGTTGGACATCATTAGAGCTGGGTGTAATTCTTGTAAAAGTCTCACTTTAACACTAAAGCAAGAACACTATTCGGCTCTATATTACTTTTTATATAGACTCAATCAAGTCAAAAAATTAAAAATTAAAAAAAACTAGATAGATAGATAGATAGAAAGAAAAAAAAATAAAGAAAGAAATATAGATAGATAGATACACAGATGGATGGATAGATATAGATAGATGGATAGATAAATAAACAAATGGATAGATAGAAAGATAGATATAGACTGGTTTGGTTAATTTTCTTTCATACTGGTTCTGTTACTTTTGCTCGATTGTATGAGTAAGTATATTTGTGTGTATTAGCGTCTATATGCAATACGGTTCCTAAATCAGACTTGTGAAAGGCTTAATCTCCTGTTCTGATCCTCAAGACCAAAAAGAAAATCTTTGACCGAAACTGGTTAGGTCCGTAAACAAGTATGGTTGA